TAATTTTTTTTTTTTTTTTTTTTTTTTTTACTGCAGGGTCCCTGGCAGGATTGTCAATGATGTTTTACAGAAGTACAACTATTTCAATGTACCTGGCTTCCAAACTAGTAGAGGTAAGCATATGTGTGGTGTCAGAATATCTTTTCCTCAGGAATGGCAGAATTAGTTTCATCAAATGATATTCCAGGTCAAGCTTCCCAATCAGATATTTTCTGGATGAGTTTGTTCTGCAACAAAACACCTTTCAAAAGTATTAGGATCCAACTCTTAGCTAGTCTGCAGGGTTGCTTCTTAGAGAGGCTGATGAAGAACTCTGAGAACTCTGAGTAGTAGTTCCATTGTTGCAATATATTTGGAGAGTGCCAGATTGGGGAAGACTGTCATCCATGGTGCTTCTTTCCTATCCTGCATTCTTCTGACTTAACTCAGTTTGAGAAGCTTGCCAATCAGACAGTAGCTCTACTTTTTCTTGGCCAGTGTTATTTTGTTCCTTACAGCTCACTTTCCAAGTGAGAGCACGTGTCATGCAACATTTGCATCAACTTTGGTTCCACTTTTGATTCAGCAGAGGTCCTGCATGTATGAGAGTATGCTCCAGAGATTTTTGAAGTGGCCATTTATTGTGCAAATAGAGCAGGAAGGAGAAAGGACGGGTGTGTATATGTGTAAACAGAAGGAAATGTTATTTTGTGGCTTTACTTCAGGCTGAGTTGACTGCCTCTCAATATGAAATAAGAGGATTATCCATAACCATTGTTCTTCTGAGGCTGCCACGTCCTCTTCATCTGGTATGCATGAAAGGGCATGGATGCAGTTTGCAGGTGCAAGACCTGAATGGGTCCGATATTCCCAGGTCTGACTTATTGTGAAGGGCATGGCGGGGGTGGGATTTACTCTAGAATGCCCAGATCTGTTATAGAAAAAGGACCTTCACAGGAAGTCCAAGGTGTGGCTTGTTTCCAACATCTGGCATGAATATTGCCTTTGATTATGGTTTTTCTCCTTAACTGTCATAGCTATTATCTTGATCACAAGGTACTGTCAGGGTAGCATGTATTCCAGGCAGTCAGCTAGAGTTCCATTCAGCTGAATGAGTAGGATGGGCCCTAAATGCAAGGCTGCCTTTCCCTCATTTGGAAATCAGTGAAATAATACATTTTACCATTTGAAGAGTTTTCCTTCTCAGGTAAGACCATTAAGCCCACAGTCTAAAATATATCAGTGATCCTAAGAATGAACCATGTGCTGGTGGATACACCCAACTGATTCCACTGCTGCTTTTTAAAAAGCCTCATAGGGTTGGCTCTCTGCATCTGTCAATTTTCTTGTTCCTAGCTTTGCACGACTGGTCTTTCTGGAAACTCATTCACTTGCTTGCTTGATTTTTTTTTTTTTTTAGGCCATGTATTTCAAAGGCATTGAAGCTGGAAAGGTTCCTTATTTCCCTCATGCAGACAGTGTAATCTATGCTGTGTCCGCAGCCATCTGCTTCCAAGCAGTAAGTTTTTGTTCTTCAAGTTGAAGCTCTTTTGTTTATGTCTAATGATGCTCATTAATTAAAGTAAAAGGATATAGGGCAGTTTGTCCTAGTCATTTATTCATATGATAGCTGCTTGATTCTTTTGCATGTCAGTAGGTTTGTTAGTATTTCTATGCTGCTAGAGAAGAAGAGACTTTCAAAGCAGGGGACGTGTTCCAGCAGCCCAAACGGCTACAACATCCACAATGTTGTTTGTGTGGTCAACTTGGGGGAGCTTATTCCATACCATTGTAGCTGGTTATTTCCATGTTGCATTGCTCACTCATTGCAAGGTGAATTTGGAAGAAATGGCTAACATTGGAGCTCTGTATATTTTATTCAGTGACGCTATGATTTGATATGCAAGATGCCATACTAGCATAATAGTGCAAATGCTTTGTACCCAGGCCAGTTTGTTGATCTTTAGTAAGAGATGCTTGGATTAGCTGTGTGTATAAGAGTGTCTTACCCAACGTAGTGCCCTCCTGATATGCTTAGACTTCAGTTGCCATAAACCGTCACCAACATGGTCAAAAACAGCGCTGGCTTGAGGGCATAGGGAGTCATACAGAACATCTAAAGCAATGTTTCTCAACCTCGACAACTTTAAGATGGGTGGACTTCAACTCCCAGAATTCTCCAGCCAGCATCAACACTGATCTAGAGAGCACCAAACTGAGAAAGGTGAATAAGGAGCACCATCTTTATGATGAAGCTTTTCTTTTGCCAGAAGCAAACTGAGAAAACATTGCAAAGAGAAGTATTGTTATTACCGTATCAGAACAGCAGATGGTGTTGGTGTTTCCATTCAGATGGTCACTCATGCCTTGGTCTCCTCACAATTGGAATTTTGCAATACACTCTACATGGGGTTGCTCTTGAAGACCATCCAGAAGCTACAGCTGGTACAAAATGCAGCAGCACAAGCAGTAATGGGCATTTCATGTTATGCCCATTTGTCATCACTGCTACACAAGCTACAGTGGTTGCCAGTAGGCTTCTGAGTTCAGTTCAAAGTGCACCTATAAAGTCCTTCATGGCTTAGGGCCTGGGGGACGGTCTAGTTCCCATTGTTTTTGCCCATCTGGTACATTTGGACAGAATGGGTGCACTCCAGAGCCCTTCAATTAAATGTTGCCATCTTGAGGGACCCAAGGAAGCATCCTTTTCTGCTCCAGCCCCTGCCCTTTGGAATATCATCCCCCCAGAAATATGGATGGTTGCCCATTCTCCCGGGGTCCCAGAAAGCCTTAAGGCCTGTCTCTGGTCCAAGGCCTGGGGTTAATGTGTATGTTCATGTATTTGAGGGGCCTCTGTCATATTTGTGCTATTTATTGTTCTGGTTGTTTTAGTCCTGGCTGCTTATTAACTGTTTTAATTGTTTTTTGGATTTTGTAAGCCACCCAGAGTTTAAAGAAGTGGGTGGCTATAACACAATTAAAAAATTAGAATTTAATTTAATTTAATTCCCAAGTTAAAGCCAGAGTTTTTGTTTTAGGCTGTGATGGAAGTTCAGAACCTGAGACCTTCATACTGGAAATTCCTACTGCGATTAACAAAAGGAAGGTGAGTAACGCTAAGTGGTTACAATTGTCCACTTCTGTAACAAGCATTGTAAATGCCAGACTTTCTTTTTTAAGTCTGCTATGAATGGATTTTGTGTTAAATGATGAGACTGTCAATTCACATAATTTTTTTTAAAATAAAAACATTCGAGAGCTTACATGAAGGCTGGGTTTTCTCTTAAGTTTTCCAGTTTTGCTTATAATCTAAAGTTCTTTCACCGCTTACATGAACAGAATTATCCTTCAGTATGTAAGATTTGTAGTTGTGTCCAAAAAGAGCAGTGACTCAGACAAAAAGTGTCATTTTTACCACAATTTTAGTTTGCATGTGATTTTTACCTTCATTAGTCCCAAAGAGAAATAGAATATGAGTATTTCAGATTGCAACCTTTTCTGGTCTGCTTGACTAACAGACATTAACGCTCACTGAAAGTTTGCTGGTCTCATATAAGAAGTCAAATAAAAGAGTTCATTTGAATCATTGGAGAAAAAATTCAAATGTACAAACTTTTAAAGGCCTTTAACAAAATACACATTCCCAACTTAAGACTTAATATAAAGAACATTTTAGTTGGGCTTATTTGAAAATATTTTTGACATTTCCCCATAATGGCATATAAACATAATAGAATGTTGATTATATTTATCTTAATAAATATATAATTTCATGATTGTTTTTCAGTGGGATAAACATAGTCTTAATTTCTTAAGCTTTGCCAGTGGAAGTTTAATTTATACCACTCTAATCGTAATCTTGTTTTATGTTGCTTTATTCCCTGACTTATATATTAAACTACTTTTGGATCTTTCATTTTCTAGATTTGCTCTCATGAACAGAAAAATACTGGATGTATTTGGTACTGAAGCATCTATGCATTTTAAGGATTTCATTCCAAAACTCGATCCAAGATACACCACTGTTCCACCAGAGATACCTATTGAAAAGTCTTGGAACTGATACATCAAGTTCATTATGTACATACATTATGAGACATACATTATGTCTCACCAATGGCTGTCCTAAAGAGTTAATTAACTTAACAGTCAAATAGATGGAAGAGTGCTTGTGTTCCACATCAGTATTGTTTCAGTGAATTATGTTACACAATCAAAATACTGAAACACCATTGCAAGGTGTGGCTTAATTCCACTTCCCTTCTTAGATAGAAGCTCTGGATCACTGTGGCTGGTTGACACTGGTAGATTTTTTAATTGCATTATATATCAATGGATTAATATATGAAAGAGAAAATTTTTAAAAATGCCCAGATATGGTTTCAAAGGTATGCATCCACAATTCACTTTGATTCATTCCAGTAAGTAGCCTTTTTAAAAATGATATTTTTACATTTAGAAATAAAAGATACATGAAACATATATGTATATGTATGCTATAGTTCCAAATCAGATTCTAGCAGAAAAAAATTTCTTTAGATAGATTTTTTTAAAAAAAAGATTATTATGGTTCTGACAATTGTTTAAAGAGGCAATATCAGTACCTTATTTATATAACTGCACTGTTTATATCCAACTTTAGCTTTGAACACTGCCTTCTAAGAGTATCAGCTCTACAAAATCCAGTTGCACGTTGAGAGATTGGGGGGGGGGTTGGGCATTTAGCCTTTTTAAGAGATCTTGTAAAAATAATAGAAAACTATCACCGCCAGATGGAATATAGCAGTTTTCTGTTTTTGCAGTACATGATTTGAAGAGAAAAAATTAAAATATTCAAACAAAGTTCTTGAGAAAGTGGATCTGCCCCTGAATATACAACTGTCATGATTTTATAAACTTGAGTGTAATGTTGGTTTCCAGTAACCTTTAAAGTGAATCCAAGTCCCTACATTTAATGGGTAAAATAAAATAATGGATAAAATAAAACAGGTGAATATGTTAAGAACATTGGTGATACCTACTTCTACAGACTGTTTTAGCTGATTTTCTGAAAGCATTGTAGACAGATCAGGACATGATATTTTATGTAAGCTGGTCATTGCACAAAGCCACTTCTCTTGTTTGCCACATTCCCATTTGATTATCTGATTCTGGTTTAACAGTCATCTTAATACAGCTGCACATGAACTGCAGTGAGGGATTTTTAAAGCATTTGAGAGATCCAAAAAAAGCTATTCAGATACATATGCTTTGACAAAAGCTGAAATATCTGTGATCAAAAGTACCAGAAAGAGAGAGAGAGAGAGAGATTGTTCGGAAGTAGATTAAATTTCTGTAAACTATTTTTCCATCTACTGTATGATTGTGAATATGCACAAAAATTACCCAGTATTCTTATTTCATTCACTATAACAGTGTTGTTGCATTCACTAACAATAGTAGCATAAGACTTTATTTTGATCCGAAGGAATTTGTCAGAACTGTCATTCAGGATGGATGTTATAAGGGAAGTGGGATGGAAAAAATGTTCCTGGACTATTATCTATATCACATCATACCTTGGAGCAGCTCTTTCTCTTTCCGGTCTGAAACAATATTTCAATCCAAGTTTGCTCTTATATTATGCTCCAGTTGTTGTTGGACTGACTGTATTTATTATTTTCATGGGAGAATGAAATGATATGTCAGTCTTTTAAGAGACTATTGATCATGCTTGTTGTTCAGTATTATCTTTAATTTTTTTTCCTCATGTGCTAGATTTTAATTCCAGTTTTGTCAAACCATTTTGAATCCACTCCCGCCCTGAGGTGTGGACCAAAAGGTTGTTTAAATCTGATGGTTGCATTACTAATATTGTCACTGCCAGTTGTGTGATGGAAGTGATGCATGGTCAACTGCTAAATGAGCAGAAATTTTGAATGTCCCATGTAGTGGTGAGTAGTGAACCACCTGATCAGTATCGCCTATGAAGAGCTATAGAGCAAGTACGTCGCAAAAGTAAACCTAGAACTCAGGGATCTATCCAACTCCCATCTCATGTGTTTGCCTGTGACTATGAAGTCTGCTGAAATAGTTGGAGGAACCTCGATACTGGTACAATACCAGTATCAAAAAAATAAAAATAGTATAAGAATCCCCTTTGGGCATATGTTAATGGCTGGTCAGCATTTATTTTTAATTTTATCTACAAACATCAGTATTTCTTTCATCTGAACATCCTCCATAATTTCTTGAAGAGAAAAGCTTTTATGGCATCAAGAAATTAACTTGGTGGCTGGGAAATCTGAGGGAGGGGGTAGAGGTCATCTGTAGTCTGCACTGGGTGTGAAGGAGCCAGAACGATGCTTAGCAATGCCCAAGAGTTGGAGCATTTTCCTCATACTCTTTTTTACTTAGGACAGTATGGGAGGGTAGCATGAAAGGATAGAAAGAAGGGGAATGGGGGGGAGGGACCAAGTGCAGAGGATTCCAGCTGACTGGAGCTGAGGAGGGAGAGATTTATGATGTACCACAGACCCAAGTTTTTTGGATGCTTATAGTTATTGTGTGATTGATTGATTGATTGATTGATTGATCGATCACATTTATATCCCGCTGCAATCCAAAAACTCTCAGCAGCTTCCATGATGCAAAAATTAATTTAAACCTCCAAGGTACATTAAACATAAAAAATTAAACCATAAAATCATAAACCAATAAATCATCTCAGCCACAATCACAAAAATAAAATGAAGGCCTAGAATAAAAGAAGATGCAAGTCATGAACTAAGCTGGAACTCTTCCCCCAAGGGAGCTCAGTTTTTAAAATCTTTCTAAAAGGCATCAGGGAGGGGGCTGATCCAAACTCCCCTCGGTGGCCATTCCAAAGCATTGGTGCTGCCACTGAAAAGCAGTGTCTTCTAGCTTCCGCTCCATTCATCTGGAAGTAAAGGACCACCAGGAGCTTCTCCCTAGATAACCTTGGTAAGTTCAGCTGATTCAGGTTGGAGCAGGTGGTCCTGTAAGATAGCCAGGTGCCAAGGCAAAAAAGCCATTTTGGGATACATAACAAAAGGGAAGACCCAGGGAAACAAGTTTGGAAATGCATGGGCATTCTCCTGTGGAAGTATCTGTTTCCTAGTTGGCTTCATTTTGAAGTCTCTTCAGCATTCTCAGACTCATTAGTCTGAGAGATGCAAATGAAGGATTTAAACTTTGCAAGGATTAATGGTCTTTTTGGATTAAGGCAGATCTTTATATTTGAGCCTAGATTTTTTAATGTTTCTTCATAAAGCTTACTATATTTATTGTAAGATTTTTTCAGGTAGGCTCAAATTGCCTGTAGCAGAACGTTGTTGAGCTTTATTGAAATAGAATCACTTCAGCAACTGAAAATCATCTGTGCCACTGCAACTCACAGAAGATTGAGTTCTAAAACCCACTGATTTCATCCATTATCATAGATGTTTCCTAGAGCTGTGTCAGATGTGTGTTAGTGAAAACTGACTTTTAGGGAGACACTTATGTCTGAGAGAACAACTCTCTCTCTCTCTCTCTCTCTCTCTCTCTCTCTCTCTCTCTCTCTCTCTCTCTCTCTCTCTGTCTCTCTCTCTCTCTCTCTCTGTCTCTCTGTCTCTCTCTCCCTTTCACTGGGGAAAAACCCATCTTACTCTGGGTAAAACACTGGTGAAAAAAAGGTGTTGAACTTTGCACATTGTGGCAAACTTTTGAGTGGGAGTTGCAAATACTTTATGTGCAATGCAATTTGATTCTCCAGTTCAGGGGATAACATGTCTATAAACAGTTTTTACATTTTTAGTCTTGCCTCCTATTTATACATATAATGGCTTTCTCCAACCTGGTGCCCCCCAAAAGCATAATTCTCTAACATGATCAAATGGGAGTTGAAATCCAACAGGTCTGGAGGGAATCGGGCGAGGGAAGGCTGATCTTTAACAGAGATTTAAGCATGTTGTGTGAAAATAAAATATGATTGCCAGAGATAGCAAAAGAGAGGGGGAGAGAGAATGATATATTTCCTGCGTTGTTGTTATTGTAAGAAGATGGGAGGTGTTCATTTCCCTTGCTAGGGAACGCATTCCTTCATCAGGTGAGTGTACATCCTCCTTGGAATTATGGAAAAGAAGGGGAAGTCCCTTTTTTAAAAAAAACCTCTTTGCTTCAACAACAAAATTTCCAAATAAATATGCTTAGGAGTTAGGATCTAGTATACATGTTAGGCGTTAGGACTTTCCTATGTAATTCACTGGAAAATCTTTAGCAGTGTATCTTGCAGGAAGCACTTCTACCAAATTCATAGTGATGATGGATTTTTGTGTAACATGAAAGAATTAAAAAATGAAGGACTGAAGTTATTGTTTTGACTGGAAAAGTTGGAAATAAACAGTGAGCTCTACAGACTTTCATTCCTGATTATTTAAATATTTGCTTATAACTCTTGAATTAATTTAATAAAGCTAAATTTCTTTTAAGGAACCTCTGTTTAGTTGGAATCCTTATGGAAATCCCATTATTCATCCTCTTCTCAGCAGTCCTGAAGATTGCTTTGGTGGTTATATTGGAAACCTGTTTTGGGGAGAGGGGATGACTTTGATGATCATTTCTTTCCATCTGCATACCCTTCACCTTGCAGTATACCTGTGAAGGAGCTCCACATACCTATACCGATACACCAAAGACATAGGAAATTGGGCCCATCCATCTTTTAAGTCAGCAGCCAAGGGCAATGTTAGGTCACCTCCTACTTTCTTTGAATCTGGAAAGGACTCCAGCTGAACCCCTGAGATTTCAAAGGGGAAAGCAATTCCTATCAAGGCAACTTGTCAAGTCCCATTTTTCAGTTTTTGAAGAAGCCAATGAAGCATGGGAGGCAACATTAACAACTTAATATGTTTGCTTATTCATTTATTTATTAGACTTATGTGGCCATCCATCTTATGAAACATAACTCTGGGCAGCTCAAAATGACCATAACCCCCCCCACCAAAAACCGGTACTTCAGTTCTACCCTGATGCGTCCAACAAAAGGGCTCTAACCCTGACCCTATCCCAGTGCTTGGGGGTAAAGCCAGCTCTTTACAGCCTTCTGGAAGATTAAAGGGGAATCCCTTGGATCTCAGGTGGGAGGCTCTTCCAAAGGGTTGAGGTGGCCACCAAGAAGGCATGGTGTCTCAATGTCTCTAGGTGGCAACATTTAAGGGAAGGAACCTGGAGTATGTCCACCTTAGATGACCTGTGGAATGGGCAGATACCCTCAGGGAGAGGCAGTCCCACAAATCGGCTTCTGACTCTTGCGCCAGCCAAAACACAAGTCTGTATGCCATTTCATTTGGTTGTAGGCTGTGTTCCTCTGCAGATGTCTCACTGTTACTTGTGTGGAAACAAACATCAGAGATACTTTGTCCAAGAAGCTTAGTGCCTGAGATGGCACAAGGAACCACAGAGGAAGGAGAAAATGGAGGCAGGGGTAATTGGGGATAAGTGATTGCTCAAATTATATTACTTTGGCTTAGTTACAATAATTTTATATCATGTAGTAATATAACTAGGGCAAGGCAGGTAATTGATAGGCTGCCTGTGATCTGCACTGCCTTTGTTATAACTCCCTGAGCTGCCACTCCCATAATGAGCACGCTGATGGTACTTGGCAAGGCAGTCTTTTAAAAAAGAAATATAAAATAGATTAATTGTGTTATTGTTTGTGGGTAATGTCATCCCTGAATTTCAGGGCTGAAAACCAAATCATTTTAAAAATGTTGCTTTTATCCAGGAAAAGAAAAGAACCAAAAAAAAAAAAAAAAGTAGGAGATGATCCAAAGGCTGTCCAGAAAATGAGTGGGATTTGCTTCTGAGCAGAAATGTATTTGGAGTTGATGCAGAAAGAATTTGGTTTACACAAAATTCTTACCCAGAGCATTTCCCCCTTTTCCTTCCCTTCGGGTACCTGGATTTTGTTTTGCTTTTACAGCATCTGTTTGTAGAGCAACTGAGAACTTTCCTCTGCTTCACCAAACAACTTGTAGTTCAAAGTTCAGCTAAGGTGTGTAGCCTTGCCCAAGTTCGCCACACGTGGCATTGTGCTTTGCCCGTGGGTGGGAATGAATCTCTGCCATCTCATCTTGGGCTGACTTCTCCTTAGCAAGTGGGCTGTCTGGAATGCAACTTCACCCATGCCACTGTAATTTGGTTACCTGGGGCAAATTTAGCAAGGGCCAAATTATAGGATTCAACACCCTTTACAAATGAACTTTGAAAGTTTGCTCAACAATTCAGTGTTTCAGAAGAAACACTGTGTCATATGATGCCATCCATTGTAAAATACACTGCATTTTCTTTGAACACCCCTGGCCCCAATTTTTATTAGTGAAAGGCTGGTTTGGGAAATTCTGCAGAAATCACTGCTTTTTGGAAGATATTGATTACAGGGGGTAAGTGGAGACAAAGAGTTAAGCATCCCGATGCTATAAACATGCTTACTGTGAATCAGTTTGTTCTAGTTACAAGGCAATTAAAACAACAACAGGTGGTCTGAATCAACTTTTGGTGGACTTGTTCAAACTTGAACTCCAGAATGATATTTAATCAAGGCCAGACATGAAGGCGACTCATCTGAAACCACAAGAGTAAAGAAATCTCACTGTTTTCACGATACAGACTTGTTCCTCTTGTGAATATGCCTCCTCATCTCATTATACCTTTGGTAAGACTAGGACCAAATATGGGCCAGTCGCTGATATAGTTACATGTTAACATACTATTGTTTCATAGGCAGTCATAGGTTTTAGCGTTGTATCTACATTTTGTACACATTCAAGTTTCTGTGAAGTCCTCAAAAATCATGCAGAACATTGTTGCATAGAGTTTAGTAGAGGGTAGGGATCACAATTCTGTCCATAAGATTTCCCAGTTGGGATCCTAGTTTTACTTGCTGAAAGATGCTGAGTTCCTTAGATGGATGTCGGAACAATACTTTTCAAATTTCTTGACCCCATTTTTAGATGGTTCATCTAAAAGCTCTCAACTGTATAGAAATATATCAGAATCTTATATTAAGTGTACATATGTACTTCAGAATCCATAAGGCTCTGTGGGTTAATAAGCTCATCCAATACTGGTGCTAAAACAGAGCAAAGAGTTCCAGACCACCTACTAAAGCTGTGCAGCAGGTAAGGGAAGAAGAAGGGAGAATCTGGAAGGACAAGACCATTAATGGGCTACCTTCTGGAACTGGTGGGCTACAAGTCTCACAATCCCTTGCCATTGCCCTTGCTAGCTAAAGCTGCTGAGAATTGAAGTTGAAAACATCAGGGCTAGAGCTTCCCATAAGTTTCTTATGTATTTTCAGTTTCCATTGGATGTCTGTTGCAAAGAGAGACATGTCAAAGATTCAAGATTCAATGTGGATATTCAAGACTTACAAACGCTTCACGTCAATCCTGCTTCCAGAAGTGACAAGCATGGGTGGAATTAGCACACAATAATATGCTAATGTGTGACAGATGGAGTGTGAGCTGGGACTTCCCCAATCGTGTACCTCTTACTATTCAAACCCAGCCATTGAAATATTAACCCTGAGCATCCATAAGGTGTGGTCTTATAGATTTGTCTTCTTACTTATTAATGAACTTCTCAATCCTTTGGAGCTCTGTTTCATTTAAAAGCAGCATGCCTGTTTTAATTCAATTAATACTGGCAGGCACGTTGCTTTTTATACCAAAATGGGGCAATGGTTAAAAACAGTAAAGTCTGCTGAATTTTTTAAAAAAATACCCTATCTATTTATGTGTTGGGGGATATAGATGTGTGCAACAGAGAAAACGAGAGAGAGATGGCTTCAGAGTTTTCACCGTTTCTCCTGCTTGTTTCACAGCATTTCTCCTGCTTTCATGGAGTTCTCACTGACGCAGCTCCAATTCCTTGCTCCCATTTACTGCTTGCCACAAGGCAGCTGGCAAAGTCCAATTCTCCATACCAGTTGACAATTTCACTGTAATTTAACTACTTTAACTCTTGGCAGAGTCCCTTACAGTAACACTCCATTTCTTTGTGTCTACAGGAAGTTTTCAATCCAAGCCCCCCTTTCCTCATCTTCTCTCCTTTTTCTGGCCAGGCAGGAAAATGAGTCACACTGTTTTCCCCTCTGGCTGAAGAAAAGTATGAGGGAAAGTTTCACTAGAGGAATTTTGGCTCAGCTATGAGGTCTTTCGTCAGAGAACAGACAGTCTGGGAGGCCGAGAAGAGGGAAAGCAAGCCTAGCAAACATCAGGGATTACTGTGCCCCTAAACGTTCCTACAACAAAGGGCCCACTTGTTTCTCTTGTGATAAAAATTACGAATGCAATGCCAACAGTTGAAGACTCAGGAAAACACTTAGAGCTACTGTTGCAGTAACTCAAATGGCAAAGGCCTGGCTGAAGAAAGAGCTCTCAACTCCTTTCTGAAGATTAAAAAAATGGGTGCTGAGTACATAGGTTTCCATAGGTTGGGAATGCATAGAGGATGGTCCCCACCCATTTTGTTGAGCAGAAATGAAATTTGCAGGGGAAAGACATTCTTAACAATAATCTCGGTGATTCACAAAAACAGGCTCTGAACCAGCGCAAAGCTGATATGGAAACTTCCAAAGCTTAGGATGTTGGCTAGAACTCGGCTTGTAGAGTTCTGTGTCCATGCAGCTGAGTGTAATTTGTCTACTCAGTTCCCAACAAGTGGCAGCCTATTAGGGTTGTCTTTTCAGAGTATTTAACTTCTGTGTCTTGTTCAGTCTTTTTTATTTCTTAGATTTATATCATGCTTTTATTCCAGGGACTCGAGATGATGTATAGAGAGTTCCCTCCTCCCATTTTTCTTCTACCCTGTGAGGTAGATTGAGCTGAGATGACCATATGCCTCTGGAGATTGGTGCCTGGATTCTCCATACTTTGGTGTTAGACGTTAGCAGTCATTCTCACTGTGCAGACTTTACTTCTCATATTTCTTGCCATCAGGGTTCCATGAAGAATGGGTCATGAGGAAGTGGACCCAGGGCTTGAATTCAGGAAAAGTGCCAAGCAGTGAAGGATACTGTTGGCGCTCTTTTTCATCTGCCCAAACAACCACGACAGTTGCTGATTGCTGGCTTATCTGGAGGTCCATCTCTTCCTGCACCTCCTGACTGAGTGAACCACTTCCATTGCCCCCATCTCCATCTCATCAGAAACAACAGTTATGCTACCCAAATCAAGAGCTCTGCTCATAGTTTCCTTTACCCAGGTAACAAATGGTTCTTTAGATGCTGGGAATTTATGAGTCAGATTTCTCTACCTCAGACTCAGATTCTCCATTAGTGTTTTTTCCAGAGGCTTAGGTAGTGGACTAAATTTCACTATCTCCATTGGCGGTTAGGCAGTCTAATGC